TGACAGAACATCGTTCTCGATATTCTAACCTCCTTCCTTCGCCATTTTGTATAGGGGAAATGGCGGGAAACAGCCAGTATTGCTGGTTTTCAGGGTCACGCCATTCAAAATAGATCAAAATAAAAAGCAAAACCCCTCAATAGATAAAGTCCAGAATCTGGGAAATGAAAGGAGGTAAATATGCAAAGACCCTCGCCAAGATTCAGGTCAGAGGAATATTTCGTATACGAGATATCCGAAGAAATGTTTTACCCAAATTTATAGAGATTTGTATGGAGACGCCATGCTGGTGCCCACCTGGATGGGCTCCAACATTGCGGACGGAAACCAACAGAAACATCTGTTACCGAGTTTTGCTACAAAGCGTGAATTTCTTCTTCGAGGAACTCATAAACATTAAAGGAATACTTTTTATAATGCATGAACTGTTTGGATAGCAAAATTCCTTGAAATAACGTATTTTTTTAATCTAGATGTCAACTCTCTTGGCCGTCATGTAAATGCCGCGTCACGCAAAACCTTAGAAATTCAAGCATACTCTATCACAAAACCAAGAACCCTTTTGAAGCGAAAATTTGTATGAAAATTAGTTTTCAGCTGCTCTAATACATCGTGAAAGTAAAATCTCGGTAGGATCGATAGTTTTGTAGTTTAAATTTTAGAAGCATGTGACAAAACTTTTTTTACGATTTCCCAAAATATTTTTTTGGATTTGAAGACGATTCTTGGACTTTAAACTATGTTAGAGTTTTCTAAAAAGTTATTTGCGGATCCAATAAGTTTCTTTGGATTTGCGATACTTTTTTAGATTTACCAGACTCTTCAAGAATGATTTGTACAAAAATCGCGATTTGAAATAATTTTATGGATTTGCAAAATATTTTCGGATTATTGAGAAAGTTATTTGCGGATCCACAAATTTTCTTAGGATTTGCAATAGTTTTTTAGATTTGTCAAACTTTTCGACAGCCATTTGAGAAAAATATTGCGATTTAAAATATTTTTTTGGATTTGCAAAATATTTTTGGATTGTCCCTTCTCGGCTTCCGTAGTTTCCCCCCGAAATTTCCCGTGAAATCGGCCGATTTTCCTAATAATTTGCCCCTGAAAATCCTTCGAAACTTGAATTTTTTCCGCTGAAATCAGCGGATTTTTTTGCGAATTTTGACTTTTCTTCCGCGAAAATCCCGCGAAATCGGCCGATTTGTCAGCGAATTTTGACTTTTTTCCCGCGAAAATCCCGCGAAATCGGCCGATTTTTCCGCGAATTTGCCCCTGAAAATCCCGCGAAATTTTGCTTTTTTTTTCGCGAAATATCAGAAGCCCTGAAGAGGGGTAGGGTCATGATATTTTTTTGGCCAAGGTCAAGGGGAGGGTTAGAAAATTTCACTCTCATTGCAGGGATGGGTCACCTCATTTCCGAACCCAAATTTAAAATTCCCACCCCCCCTCCCTCCCTGCTAATTCGTGACAAGTCCCTAGTAAAGGCTCAACAGTATTTTGTAACCTCGAGTTGCATGTTCTTAGATGAGAAAACCATGCTTGAAATTGGCTTAATCCTGGCTTAAACTTAACCATCTCTTGAGGAACCAGGCCATGGTGTTTAAGCCCTGACATCTAACAGGGATCTGAGGTATATCCACCATGGAAGACGTCTCCCACACCTGGGAGTCGCCTCTAAAGGTGGAAGCTCCCAGATGTCTCTGCAAGCATCCATCTGCTTTTTTTTAAGTGATGCAATTGAATGAAGCTGTAGGTCTTGAATCACTTTATTATACTTTTGGTCACCATATTAGTTACATTGTTTTACTGTTTGACAAAGGAAAAAATACACTTAAAGGATTGAAGTTCACATATAAAAGATGACATAAAGCATCCAGATCAAAATAGCCAACAACATTGCCCATCATTAGACCAAAACAGCTAAACAAAACTTTTAATTATTCTAGGAGCCAGTACTAACAACATTGCCATCATTTATACACTTTGTATACTAACTTACATACAGATGTACATTGTAGGGGCATAAGCCTGTCCTCTTCTCAGCCCCCACCCCCACCCCCTCCCCCCTCCCAAAGGAAGACAATGGAAACAAAATGATGACATGTACCTTATGCAAATCATTGTTAGTAAGTGAATAAGGTAGGTTTCCAACATACACTGTAGACTTGCTGGGTGCTAGGCCTCCACTCATTACAACTGAAAAGCCAAACAATGTTCTAAAAGAGAGATTCAAACGAAATGCAGAAGTGAGCATCAGGTTGATTAATTAAAGTTGAATTCCATTGCTTGTGCCTTGAGTTAGCAGCTCTCAAATTTTGCTAGCTTCATGCCCAGGACCACTTCATAAGAAAGTAAGCTTTAAAAGTTATTCCCTCAGCAAGTCAAAATCTACTTGCCTGGACCATGAAACGGAAATTTTTTCGAGCCCTATAGTAAGGAAATTATGGCAGGAAGGAGGGAAGGGGAAAGATATTTAGGTCTCATCATTTCTGTCAAACAACTGGTTACATTGCTTTCAATTTTTGAATTTTCTGTACTTGTCTAATGGGAGATTGCCAACCAGAAATGTAGGTGCAGGAGAGATTACTTCTCTATCAGAGAAGCAGTATTGCAAGTTTATGTTTGACACTACATGTATCTTACCACTCAGAAACAAGTGGTAGTTGGTACATTAAAAAGGCTCAGTCCATGGGAAATATTCATGGTTTCATATTCAGATAGTATAAACTCTAACTGGTAGGTGCCATTAGTGCAGGAGACATAAAACACCTGATTTTGGCTGCTGCTGTGTGGTTACATTTCAAGTGAAAGGCTTTTACTAATAATAACCAATCCCTTTAACATCCCAGGGGGAGTACTCCGAATTTCAAGTGATAGGGATGATCGAAGTATTTTGGGTTTGAAGGTTTTGATTCCACGATCTTTTTGGGTAGGAAAATACCCAAAGGAATTGTCCAAATTTGGCAATTACTGATACTTTTTTGGGTGGCTTGATTTAAGTAAGGGTTTTCTTCAGGGGTTTTCTTGGTATTCAAAACAATTTGAAGATTATTTTGTGGTAGTGCCCAAGTATCCCGGCTGTGTAGTTCTGCGAATACAGGTACAACCAAATGTTTTTATTTTTTGTGTTATATCTTTTAACAATTTCTGGAAATTTTTACTGCTCAGAAATTCAGCATGGGATTTTTTTTGGGGGTAATTATTTTGGTGCACTCAGTGATTCAGGGATCTTTTTGGGTTTTGTCAGAAGCCCTATGAATGTTTTTGGGCTTTGATTTTTCACCCCCATTCGATCATCCCTGTCAATAATTGAAACCTGGAGTATGTAACCCCCTGGGTTTAACATGCTACCTAACATGCAAGGAGTTTATATGGTCTGCCAGCAGCAATGAATACAACATCTTGATAGCAAATAAGTCTTGAGCAATAAACATGAGAAACTAGAGAAACCTTACTACGGGTAATTAATATTATGATTCTACTGCATTGTTTCAAGCTGATAATCATAGAGGAACACCCAAGTATTAAATATTATAGAAACAAGGAAGTGAATGGATCAAACTCAGATTTGACACCCTGACTATGGGTCGTGATACAAAAATGATGTATGACTTGACTCTAGATCTTGAGGATAAACATTAAAAGGGAAATGGTCTTATCACGTAATGATGAAGAAGTAGCTTCTTCAAAAAAAAATACCCAATTCAAGTCTAGAGTGCACAAACCATACCCTATTTCAGACCAAAATGGTCAAAATTGATACCCTATTTCAGACCAAAACGGCTAAAATACCATATCCTTTGGCGCCACGCACATACCTATAGTGAATGGCCACTGCCACTACATGCACAGTCACTCACAGTTGAAATAAACCTAAATCTCTCATTCAAGATGGCCACCAACAAACGTGTGCATGTCAGGGAAACTGGTCATTTTGATACAAAGTTGTTTCAATACAGGTTCTTTTGATATGAACTCAAGCAGTGAAATTGCACTTAAATTTTGATCACTTCAAGTAAAGTTTGAAATTGAACAAGAAAAATATTTTGGGCAAATATTCTTTATTCTTTAAGCCAAGTACGTGAAACCATTCACACCTAAAAGGAATTAACTTGTATCGAAACGACCCGTAACCCATGTCAGCAGAAACAAAGAAGATTGATTGTGGTGTTTACTGCTCCAGCTTTAAAATGATATGATATGTGACTTCTAATACCCATAATCCCTGCAGTACAGTACATCCTTCTATCACGAAATTTGCGCCTTTAACGACTTTTTTTTCACTTTTTTTTTTTATGTCTAGAATATGCCTCTAGGCCATGGGGGTTGCTACATTGCTGTACGTCTGTTGATTTTGATTTTGATTTTTCTTATGTCAATGTTATGAAAGTAATGCATACATAAATAATCTATGGGAAGAGCAAAATTGTAACAGGGTTTTAAATTAATTTATTAATACCAGAGTTTTACCTATCATGATGAGAAATATTCGATTTCAAGCAGCCAAGTTTCAGTTTTCGACTTTATCTGCTATTTTCATTAATGTTACTAAAGCTAGGGAAAAAGGATTGAAATATTGATCACCTTCCTTTCAATACATTGCAATATCAAGTTTTTCAATTCGAATCATGCATATGTAGGTTCAAATCAAATCATCCATAGGTTGTCATCAGCTGCCGGAAGAACGGGTGCTTGACATGAAAATAAACATTGATGTCCTATTGATAAACTTCTGGGAGTGTAGTTACTAGAACGAAGCGGTTATTCAAATGTCGGAATCCAAAGACCCCTCTAATCTGATATAACTGCTCCTTTCTTACCTTAAATTTTAGCTACCTCGAAGACTGGTTGCGCATGGGTGAAGAGCTGTCCGCCATGTTAAAACCGGAGACGATTACTGTCGAAAGTGTCGGCGTGGCTACCAAGCCGGTAGTCTTTTCAAAACATCTTCACCGTGCATGGTAAGCATATTGACCTCGTGTTTTTGGCGTGTTTTGGTTATTTGTGGCGGCTAATAGGCTCACTTCCTGGCGTGACGACGTTATAATGACCATTCTTAACATTTTCATCGAAAATTTTCGACAGTTAAATTGGCCCGATGCCTCCCTTGTCGCATGAACCTCAGGTTTTGAAGTTCTTACAGGTCGTTGTGACGTTGCTGACAGCCATTCATGTTCGAGAAGTTTTCGCCAATGATGTGCTTTACAGCGACTGGCTGCAGACATTTCCGAAACCTGACTTTAGAACTAATTTCACGTTAAGATCAAATCAAGGCACCCGTTCGTTTAAGGAAGTTCGTCATGGGCTGAATGTGGATCCATTTTATGTTCGTGTTTATGCGAAGCCTCTGCAAGGAAACAACAGTGGGTTTTCTTTCAACGGCATCGGTTCTAGCCAGTCTTCACCCTCAAAAAGTTCTTACGGTGGCCTAATTTTTGCTTATAATTCGGAGGTTGTTCGAATTTGGGCTCCTACGAGTGCGAATGGCCATATTGTATTCGTGAAAGACGGCTGGGGAGGCGAAGAAAATACTCAAGAATCCGACGAGGCAGAAGTTATTGTTGAGGTATGGAAGGATGGCTCGGCGCCAGCTTTTCAAATCGAACTTGTTATCAACACCCACGTTCCAAACCAAACCTACTATAGAGTTGATCATGAGTTAAGAAAATTACCAGAGAGAGTTATAGTCAGGATTTCCGCTGCTGAAAGCTCTGACAATGCAGGTTTTTGGTTTCATGGAGTGGGAGCTTCGCAAAATCCAAATCCTACCAGTAACTTTGGTGGGGTGATATTCGCATATAATGAAAAATATGTGCGTTTGTGGGCCCCAGATGGTGTTAACAATAACACTGGCTGCATTTTTGTGGGTAAGGAGTGGGGTGGTGGAGTTAACTCTGAGAAGGCCTCAAAATGTAAAGTAGAGGTACGACTCTGGGTTAACCAACTTCCAACACCTACTTTCCAGAAAGATTGGTTTACTTTTCCGGGGCAAAGAGATCAAAACTCATTCAAGGAAATCGTCCATGGTAAAAATCAACTGCCGTCACTTGTTCTTGTTCAACTTAGAGCAATCAATGGAAGGAATGTGGGCTATGTCTTTGAAGCCCAAGGTGCAGTTCAGTCTGACGATGATGGGAACAATGAGTACGGAGGTGTTGTGTTTGCCTATGATGAAAACAGAGTCCGTATCTGGGCTCCAAGTAGAAATGATGGATCGAAGAAAGGTTATCCACTCCTGGTGAAAAGTGGTTGGGGATATGGCTCCAATTTACAAGCAGGGCGTGATAAGGTGCATGTTAGAGTTTTGGTTTACTACAGTATCTGCAACACATCAACCGAGATCCTTTACGAAGGCAAACAGTGCGTTAACAAAGTTCATGACTCCTACAAGTTTGTGATTTCACGGTGGTCTGAATGCTCCAGTATATGCAACCACGGAACAAAGACAAGATCTTTTACAGGTGATTTGTATGTTGTTTAAATGTACATGTAATGGCTTGCAGGGAAATGAATCAATTGAGTGGAACATTAATATTAAATTATTCACATCTTTCAGTAAGATTCTTTTACAGTGGAAGGGTTAGAGGGCTTATTTATTACCATGCACCACAAGCAATTGAGGATTGAGATCTAATTCACTGCTCGACTTGTCAAGTACCCATTTTCTACATACAGGGGTTTCAATAAAATTGAAGTAGCCAGCAGTTTGGATAGAGTAACCAACTGTATCAACAAGGGGCTGGTTGTCCCCCTTTCTTGAGGTGGGGGGAGGTCTAAGCATGTTCCGCCCCAGAAAATTTTGAAATTTCAAAGCCCTAAAAATGTGATTTTCAGCGTTCCAGGGGCTAGATTTGAGGACAAAAGAGCATGTTTTTCATTCGAGAAAATGTAGCTTTCACCGTATCAGTCACAATCAATTCCTATGAGCAATGAACAAATGATGAAAACTAAATTACGTACTTTTGCACAGAAACAATTCTGCTTGAACCTATAAGAAACTTTTGAAAAAATGACTGAATTATAACGTTCACATGACTAGAGCATAATGTAAAACCAGTGGACCTTCATAGTTCAAATCATAGTTACATTTTCATTCAGATTTTATGATGTATTTTTTGTTTATAACATTATTCAAACTAGTTGCTTCTTCTTTCTGTAAAAAAGTAGCCGAACTCTATGAGCAAAGTAGCCGGCGTGTTACGTTGGCCATCGGTGCTTATTGAAACCCCTGACCTACTAATTTATTTGCCCCTGTAAGTGTATGTTAACAAAAGCCTGCGCAGGCTTAAAACAATATACGCTAATTTGAAAAGGTTTTTTGAATGAGGAGTTTTGTACAGAATGATTTGTACATTCCATAGCTCAAGCTGAAAAGCCCACTTATCATTTTTGTACTACATTATACTACATTTACTCACTACTTGTAAGCAAATTCAAATGATTTTATTTTTCTTTTAATTGATTATACAAAACAAAAGGTAAAAAAATAAATTTAAATTAAATAATTAAAAAAACAAGGAAAAAGCGAAAAGAAAAGAATTAAACCATTTAACCATTAATAATTTTATTGTTTAAATAAATAGTGCCTGGCAATGCTCTTACCCTAAGCTTGTTTTGTACTTTTTACCATGCTTTGTACCCTGGATGAAAATTTATTGCTTTGGAAGTTAAAGTTGGTTGTGATTATTTTCAGGTTGTGATGTAACATCAAAAGAAACTGTCCATTCATGTAATTTTGAGGATGGTTCATTTTGTGGCTGGAGTAATGAACGAGGATCAGGCTCTTTGAGATGGGTGATTACAAATGCCTCTACTCCGGCGGTTAACACAGGACCATTGTGGGGGCATCCTAAAGGCTCATTCTATGCTTATACTGATACGACCGATGCTACTTTTGGCGAGGAAGGTGAGTGAAACTCTCTGAGAAATGCATCCTCAGTGACACAGGGGCAGTGATTTAGGTGGGGAGAAATGATACCCCAAAAGTTTTCTACTCTAGCCTTCACCACAGATGAAACGAAACCTCTGGTTAAAGTCCATCTGCAAGCCAGTGCCAAAACAGTTGGCCTGGACCCTCCAGCTGTGTACGTACCAGGATTTGAGTATGCACCATGATTGGCGAGCCCTAGGATTTCACGGTAATGATCGTATCCAGTTACGGTGTCGTTACCATGATCTTAAAATAACGGAACCGAAA